CTCTATCCATCCATTCATATCTGCCAGGAGCCCAAATTGGGCTCTAAATGCTTCCCACGGTACCTTCCCATCGGATTCCTGTGGCTTCCTTCATACTGGATCACCCCTATTGCTGATATTCATATCTGGGATGTGACTTCTAACAGGACTGAAGATGTCTGCATTAGGGTTTTGCTGCGGGGTCTGGAAGGGGCTGATTAAGTTGATGGTTAATGTATCCTCCTTGTGTAAAATACAATAGATCATCCTTTAATGTATTTAATTCGCTTTGAAATTTACCAATGTTTTCCATTTGTACTTCTTGTTTCCTTTCTTGTTCTAGTTGCCACTGCTGTAATCTCTCTTCTTGTTTATTTTCTCATTCTTCTTGTTTCCTTTCTTTTCCTCCAACAACTGCTGTAACCTCTCTTCTTGTTTATTTTGCTGTTCGAGCTGCCACTGTTGCAGGTTTTCTTGCCACTGCTGTAATCTCTCTTCTTGTTTCTTTTATATTTCCTCCAACAACTACTGTAATCTTTTTTCTCGTTTATTTTGCTATTCGAGCTGCCACTGTTGCAAGTTTTCTTGCCACTGTTGTAATCTCTCTTCTTGTTTATTTTGCTGTTCGAGCTGCCACTGTTGTAGGTTTTCTTGCAACTGCTGTTGTCTCTCTTCTTGTTTCTTTTGCTGCTCTTGTATTGCTGCCATCAAATCTGCTAAGCTGTAGTTTGATTTGCCGCCTCTCGTTTCCATCTTCTTCTTCTTTTTTATTTATTTATTTTTTCTGTCCCACTCTCTGACACCAATTTGTTACGTATTTGCTCGTTTGTTAATTTCCCGTATAATTTTTTTCGAATGAAACTTTAGCGATACAAGTCCTTTCTTAAATAAAACTAGTTTATTCTTTCTCAATACAACTTGCAATACACTTAATTTCCACAATCACTTTAAGTTAAACACACCCTATAATTCACAACGAACTACTCACGTACTCGCTCGACTCAATTGTCAGTCTCTATCTCTGTCTGCAGTTCAATTACATTATTGCCGTCACTTCTTACCGGTCTAAATATATACAAAAAGCGTACATCTCGTTTCTTCGTGAATCTTCTAGAATATCATGACGTCTTACCAGCGTCACGTGACTACCGCTGTCGTAACAATATATTAACATGTTACTCTAAGCAATGATATATATGTCTGCAGTATGTAGAATAGTTTTAAGGTTAATTGACCTTACAAAAATGGCAAAAGATGTCCATATATGGACAACAAGGGTCATTTGCTCCTTCAAGATTTCCCTTTATACTCATCATGAGCCTTTTCTTGCATGGTTGCCATTTTACGGGTAACACTACTCACTGGAGTGAAAAAAAAACACTTGACAATAAAACTGTTTCAGTTGGGCTACAAGAGGTTGAAAACTGCATGGTTGTATTCCCTTAGTTAATTATTAAATTTTAAAATAGGAAAGATAACTTTGGACCACCCTATATATATTAGCAAAAACAACAAGTATCGATCTCATTACTTTAGGCTTTTATATATTTAAGTAAATTTTTTTGTTTTTTACCAAAGCTGAACATATAAGTTAACTATTCCTTTTAAAAATTCATAGCACATGATAGAATACATTAGTAGAATGGGTTTCAAAAATCGTTAGGGAACCAGATACTCCAATACTGGTATGTAATTAGTATAAAAATCAATATTTAATATATTGAAAAGCCGGTAGTTTGTTATTCTGGTTTCAGTAACTTGTGTGTAAAGTAACAATTTAAATATTTAAAGCTATCAATTAATTTTGTGTTGAAGTAGTTTATAATGATTAACAGATGGCACCACAAAAGCATCAGGTCAGAATTGATGAAGAGTGTGAAGAGACAACAGCATATGAAGCTTTAAAGTTGTATCTGTGGTCCCAAACATTAACTTTATTGTGAGGTATTATTAGTTTGCTTATTCTCCAATGTCTAGTTTATATGCAATTTTAAATTATATATTTTTGTAAAATTGCTATGATATGATGGTGTTTTTTTATTTTTCATTTAACAAAATACATGTTGAGGTTAACAGTTTAAAAATAATATTTTTAATGATTTTGAATTTGACTGTTTTTTCTTTCATTCTTTCTTGTATTATACTTTTAAGATAATTTGTATCACTCAAAATTTTATATCCGTTTGATAAAATCTGAAAATAAACGTATATATATAAGAAAAACGTATACTTCAAAAATGAGCACACATAATTGTGGTTGTCAAGCAATGCCTTCAAAAATTTTAGTTCTTTAAAACATTTTGCGTAAGTATAATGCACCTAGCAAACCCGTGGGCCTACGGGCCACATTAACAGGGCCGCTATAATACAAATTTAATTTCTTTAACTAAACTACGAATGGTAATTAATAGACCTACGTATTTACGTGTCCTAATGTAAATCAATGCCAAATTTGGGGCCCGCTTTCGGGGAATCTCCGTAAAAATGTTTTCGTGAAATACCCGAGTTCCCTAAGTGGTTGGGTGAAAACGTTTACCTTTGTACAAACCTTGGGACCGAGAGGATTCGTTTGGCGCCACTTAGAGTTTAGGAGGAGTTACGTAACACACATACACTGAATCTTATTATATAGATACATAAACTAACTTTCTAATAAAATAAAAACGAAATAAGATATTCATTACTGAAGATAGTGTCCTAGCACTGACTATCCAAATGTATTAATTTTAATGTCAGTTACTTATCGTCCCCTGGTGGGACAGCGGTAAGTCTTTGGATTTACAACGCTAAAATATGAGGTTCGATTCCCTGCGTTGGACACAGCAGATAGCCCAAGATGGGTTTACTCTAAATCAAGCAACAACAATTACTTATCACTGTATAGTTTTTAAAAGACAAATAATTTGAGATAAATATAAGGCGAATAATGATCATAATATTACATACAGTATAAACTAGTAACACCAGAAGTGCAGTGTACGATTGTCGTAGGTTTAGTACATGTGCTAAGTGAGTTACCAATACAAGTAAATTCATCAGTAAGTAATTCAAGAGTGGGAAGTGACTGGCGTGGTACCATATTGCACCGCTACCTGCTGTGTAACTTAATAGTATCAAAAGTTAAAGGATTCCAGTAAAATAAAAGATAGTGCTTAGAAACTTGCTAAAAACAGTGTTATGTAGGAACATACGATTACAATAGAAAGTTGTCGCAAGAGAAGAAAAATCATGAGGTGATTTAATATGAATTTTATATGTACAGTTTTAAAATCAGAGCGAAAAGTAGGTGGAAAACTCGTGCTTCGCGTAAGAAAACTTTTTTTGATCGTGGTATTTTGTATTTCAATGCACAAAGTTTATAAAATGTAAAGGCTGTGCTGTGTATTAAAAGTAATTAAAACAGTTAAGTGACCTGGCTAGACTATTCACGTATGAGGTTAGATATATATAGAGAGTTCTGAACGAAGCTGCGAAGTTAAACCTAAATGGGTTAAACCTGTACTACAACAAGTTAAGTCTAAGTGGGTTAAACCTATTCCACAACACATGATACGCACCAAACAACTCTAGTACAAAAGATACTTTTAGCACGAACTGTGTGATCAGAAAGGACATGGCCAGGTCGATCGAGCCTACTATTTTTGTGGTGTTAAAAATTATGCTTATACGGTTATGGTATTTACTGTTTTCTACATAGTCTACATTCTTCTGATGAAGCAGTAGCATTTTTTGGCTTGAAATATTCGCATGCAATGGCTTCTGTTGACACTTTGTAATTGAAAGCTGAAGCCGTATTCATATTGTCAAATTTTATGGGCCAGATTCTTTATAGTAGGTATCTGTAACTTGTTGGCGATAAATTTCAACAATAAACGAAGAGTAACAAGAGAGGCCCCAGATATTGGCTGGCTGCTTAAAAGCGTGCTTCGGTGTACCAAATATCCTTATGTTACTGAAACTCTTTGCCACACTGCCACTTAATTCATGTTCATGTGAACGTTTGGCATCAGCTCTCAGCCAATTTAATAATTACCTGAGGCGTACACAAACCGAAGAAAGACTGAATGTTCTAGCTTTAATACATAATCATTATGACACTGCTATCATCATTGAAACTGTATGTAAGTTATTTATGGAAAAGCGCCCCAGAAGAATGGAGCATGCTGACATGTTATTTCAGTAGTGCATTCATGTACGTATATGATAGCCAATAATTGAAATAGTTATATACTGTTGTTGTACAAAGTTGTTTAGTTTATTGATATAATTTAACAATTAATAACTACTCCACATGTAGATAGTACAGTTCTTTACTATAATAAAACATACATATTTATGCTAATTTATGCCTATCTCTCCATGCAGTATTACAATAGAATGATGACTTGTTGACTTTTCATTGGATGTTTGTGGATTTTATGTGAACAGCTATGCAATTGTTTCAGTTATATTTCATGCCAAATTGCTTGCAAATTTAATCTCATAGCACCTACTTTTTAAAATGTTTTGGTGGCATATTCCCATACCCCCGTAGGATTAGCATGCTTTGCATACTGATTATGCTTCGCACGCTGTGTTGACTTTTCATCTCACAAATCTGCACCTGTACATACTGGATATTGGACAGTTTCTTGTATCAAGAATGGAAGCTGTTGTAGACAAGAATGATTACAACATGCTGCTGTGCATATTTCAATAAATAATATCCCAATAATGGCCACTTATTATACTTTATCAAGATTTTTCTCATCACTTGATTATTATGTGTACAAAATTATATAGCCCACAGATAACTACGTTTGGAGTTGTGAGAGTTAGAATAGGCCACTTAACTTTGTACTAGCCCTTTACTTATTTCATTACTTATTTTGAAAACACATATTTCCATATAAAATGAAAAGGGTTTGTTTACTGAAAGAGTTAAGGACTTTAATAATCGTTTTCGTTAACAATTAACAAAGGAATTATCAAGCTAAAAATTATGACCTCATATAAGGGAATATTAATGTAGGGATATTCTGTATTAAGACTGACTCGATAAATACGCTTCAAATTTCCTAAACTGTTTATTCATTAAACTTCACAAAATAATCTCAACAAATCAGTCAAAAGACAATTTCAACCTATGATAACAATTGTTAATGTTGAGAACAATAAGTTCAGTCAGACAGTACTTTTTATAATTGAAGTTAATTTTAACGTATTGTTACGTCTCTGGTCGTTTGTTAATTTTCGGTATAAATTCTTCCCGAGGAACTTCAGCGATACAAGTCCTTTCTTAAATAAAACTAGTTTATTCTTTCTCAATACAACTTTGCAATACACAGAATTTCCACAGTCAATACGTTTGCAATCTCGATAACAAAACACCAACTTTTTATTACCGTCACTATAGCTTAAACACACACTATAATTCAC